TCCAGATGGGGGCTGCTGCAGCCTGTTTCAGGCCCTGACATCCAATCAGTGGTTAATTATGCTCCACTGGTCTCACTGGGGTACAACATGCTCCTTTCCTTTTGCTGGCGATAAAGCAGCAGGACCTGGGGCTCCAGGGCTCACACAGTCTCAGCTGTTTAAACAAAATAACTCCCTTCTTTTGTATGTCACCTTAGTTTCAAGCCCTCTCCCTGAGGCTGAGACAGAGTCCATGGCGGCTGGTCCAGAAGACAGTCTGAACAGCAGGGCTCACTGATCTTGGATCAAACTTATGAATATTAACATTTCCCTGGGAGAGGATTTCTTCGCCAGGACAAATTCTTTTCCAGAAGAGTTCACAATGCCATAGGCAAATATTTATCTGCTGGACCTGCCACACCAGCCTTCCAGAAATGCTCAAACCTGTCTCATTTCTAGTAACAACATAGGTTAGTCTACTGATCTCAGATGTCATTCCTTATAAATGTGTCAGGAATTGGTCTCAAAGTTTTACAGGAGGATAAGGCAACAGCATCATTATAGCTACCTATGTGACAAGCTCAGTCCAAGACCCTTCAAATGCATTTTCTCTAGCCCACCCAACAATTTTCAGTAGGTATTGTTATCCACATTTTATAGATTAGGAAAGTTCTTTGTTCAGCAAGTACTTATGGAGCACTTACAGCATGCCAGGCACTGTTCTAAGTACATGAGACGAATCAGTTACCAATATAAGCAAAGATCCCTACCCTTGTGGGGCATACACTCTAGGGGGGGGCAACTGATGACAAACAATTAGCATAATAATGAAATAAAATATACATATTAGAAAGTGATTAGTTCTACAGAACTTCAGAGATGTTTCAATTTAGCAAGTATATCTTGAGCACCTCTTAAATGCCAGGCACTGGGAGTAAAATCAAAAACATAAAGGTGGCATACCCATATGGTGTTTACGGTCTAGTGAGGCCATAGAGTATGTGGCAGAACTAGGAATTAATGCCAGTGCTCAAATCCCTGTTGGGCACATCTTAAACTTTCATTTTTAGTTAAACACTCAGCAGAAGAATTTCCTCTTATCTGAAGCCTTCCCTAGGCCTTCCTTTCCCCCCAGAATCATTGCTCACTTCTCCCGCTGCCACTGGTGTGCCCTCTACATAGCCCCATGTAGCACTTTGTTCCCTGGTGCTTTTGTTGATTTATATCTGTTCTCAGGGAGCTCTCTGAGACCAGGAATTGTTTTATTCATCTTTATATCCCTCTACCAAGGATTTTGATCATCTGTGAGTGACAGAAAACCTGATTAAACAGTGGCATAAGCAAATTTGAGATTGCTTTTTTCTTATGCAACAAGAAGTCTGGAGTAGGTGCTGGCAGTTGCTGGTGGTTGCTGGCCCAGGGGAGTGTCATGGTTGAAGCATGGCTGCCATGCCCCTGGCATTACTACACCTCTACAAGCAGGGAGGGACGGTCAGCTCCTAGGGCAGGAAAGCAAAGCTTTCTGGCAATCCTGGAAGACTTCCACATTTGTCTTATTGGATGGAACTGGGCCACAGGGCCACCCCCTGGTTGCAAGTGAGGCTGGGAAATGGGTTTTTTTAACTGGACTCCTTGTTATCTGAACAAAATCAGTACTCACAAATAAGGAAGAAGAGGAAAATAGATATTGGAAGGTATCTAGCATTGTGTGCCCCAATCTTCAATACAAAGCACAGTGCCCAACATTGAGGAAGCACTTGATAAATAGGTATTGAATGAATGAATTGGTGTATGAGTAAATCACTTTTTGGTCCATGTCACATGGTCTGATAATCTACTTAGCCAACAGTTAAAACATAGTTGACCTCTTTGCTAAAATGGTATTAGGGAAAATATCAGTTGTCTATCAGTTATCATTGTGAATGTATGTATATCTATGTATGTGTGTGTGCAGATAAAGAGAAGGGGGTATAAACAAAGCTATAGATTTGTAGTAGTTTTTCAAGTAGTAGTTTTTCTTTTTCCTATAGAGTTTCCCTCCCTCTAGTATATTTGAGAAAGAAAGGAAAGCTATTTCACCTCTGCTCCTGGCTTGTCTGTCTGTTGTCCCCAGTTTCACATGCCACTGGATACAGTCCATTCCATAAAATGCTGCACTTGGCCTTGGCACAGCACCAGGTGAAGGGTGAACTGGGCCAGGCCACACTTTCCTTCCTGCCTTTCCCTTTCTGCTGTCCACACAACCATCACACAGGGTTGAATGAGAATGTATCAGAGCTGACAAAGGGTTGAGGTGACTCTATTCATTCACTCAACAAATACGTTTTGAGCACGTACTGCGTGCCAGGTGATTACTAGGTGCTAGGCATACAAAACTAAAGAGACTGCCACGTCTCTTATAAAGCTCAGAGTAAAGCAGGGGAAAGGATCATTAATTAATACCCAGACCCATAATTTCAAGTTATGATAATGTGCTATGGTCCGGCCACGGTGGCTCACGCCTGTAATCCTAACACTCTCGGAGGCCTAAGTGGGAGGACCCTTTGAGCCCAGGAGTTCAAGATCAGCCTGAGCAAGAGCGAGACCCAGTCTCTACTAAAAATAGAAAAAATTAGCTGGGCATGGTGGCATATGCCTGTAGTCCCAGCTACTCAGGAGGCTGAGGCAGCAGGATCTCTTGAGCCCAGGATTGAGGTTGCTGGGAGCTAGACTAATGCCATGGCACTCTAGTCTGGGCAACAGAGTGAGACTCTGTCTCAAAAAGAATACTTTTTAATATATATACATATTTAAATTCGAGATAATGTGCTATAAAGGAAAAGGACAGGGTGTTTTGAGAGAGAATAACAGAAGACACAATTTAGCTGGGGATGGAAGTAGGTGACAGGGAAGGCCTATTGAAGAAGGGATATTTTAGGCCCCTCCCAGTACAAGTTAAGAATCAGTACAAGTTAAGAAAAGAAGTGGGGAAAGGCACTCCCTGAAGAACAATTTATACAAAGGCCCTAAAGTGGGAAATAACTTATTATACTTAAGGAACTGAATACAGCCAGGGGAGGGGAAAGAGAGAGGAGACCGGTAATCTGCCTTCCAGACACCTCTTGTGAATGCATATACAAGTGCACGCTTGTGCGCGCATGCGCACACGCACATACACGCAAAATTTTACGTAAATCAGATCATACCATACCTACTGTTTCTAACCTGTTTTGTTTTCACTTAATGTAAATGACCAATAACTGGCAAAAAAAAAAAGTTTTTTTAATCCAATTTTTGTAAGAGAGAGAAACGTATTCTGGTGGCTGACAGAAATGATAACTTGTATAAACACCCTAGAACGAAATCTGTCAATTTATCACAAAAGAAAGGGAAGAGAAGAGGGCTTGGAATGAGGTCCCCAAAGCACCATCATTAAGGGGTGGGCAAATGGAACTGTGCAAGGGAGACTAAGGAAAAGCAACCAGAAGGTAGTAGGAAAAATAGCCATCGTGGTGCCCAGGATGCCAAGAAACGAAATTATTTAAAGGGAGGGAGTGATCCTCAGCCTCCAATGTTTCAGAGGTCAAGAAAGGTTGGGACGGAGAAGGTTCCTTCGGGTTAGCAACACAGACGTTGTGGGCGGTCTGACTACAGCAGGCTCTGGCAACGGTGGAACACAGAAGCCTGGTTTCAGTGGTTTGAGCAGTGGGAGGTGAAAAACTAGAGACTTAGACTGTAGACAACTCTTTTAAACCACCTGGCTCTGAAGGGAAGACAGGGTGGAAGAGGATTTGGGGCAAGGCAGTATTCTTATGAGAAGGAATCCATAAAAGGGAGAAGTTGAAGACAAAGCAGAAACATCGCTCCCTAATCAGGGCCTGTTCCCGAGTGAAAGAGCCACATGTTATTCTTGGTTCAGGGTCCAGAAGAGAATAAGGGGGATGGGAGAGCCTTGGACTGCCTTGAGATCTAGAAGAGGGGGGTGAAGAGACAGTGGTTGGAAAGCAAAGGCGCTGCCTTGGGAAGAAAACCGCATTCGGGAGGAGGCACAGCCCCTTGTGTCCAGCCCCAGGCCAGCTGCAGGCCTGAAACGCCACCCACCTTCTTAGATGTGTCTCTGGGCCACAGAAACTATCTGGGTTATCTTGGGCGTGGCCTCAACCTGTTCAACAACAGGTGTGCTGTTTCCATTCTAGAAACCAGTACTCTATGTCTATCTTCCATAGCAGTGGTTCTCAAATTTTAGCCTGCCACCAGAATCACCAGGAGAGCTTGTTAAAACAGATTGTAGTACCCACCTATAGAGATTCTAAGTCGAAGGTGGTCCTGGGAATTTGCATATCTAACGTGATCCCACGCTTTTCTTGCCCCCAGTCCACACTGCAACAAACCCTGTCCTAGAGAACACCCGAGGAAGGTTCTGGAAGAGTAGTTAATGGGCTTTTGTAGTTTGCTCTGGAAACTAGTCAATACTCATGTTTATCCTTAGAAGGGCATTAGAGCACTAGGTGAGTCTTCTGTGCGGGTTGGTCCAAGATGACCAAGTGGCGGGCGAGCCCACAAGCACAGCCTATAAGGAAAAGATTAGACGCAGGTCCACGTCAGCCACATGGGAGAAGGGCAGGAGAAAGGCGAGAACCCTACAGAGGGGATGCTCCGGGCAGCCTCTGGGCGCAGCCACTGAGCTGAGCCTGGAGGGCGAACAGGGCCCCACGGGGCAGATTTAGGGGTGGGGAATAGCATTCTAACCGCAGGACCAGCGCTAGCGAAGCACTCAATCAGCATAAAAAAGGAAAGTACAGCTCCGCGCATGCCTTCGGGGTGCAGCATGCCTTAATCAGGGCGCCTGCGCAAACATAGCATAGTCTTCTCCCTACCCCGCCTCTCCTGTTCAGGCTGACGCAGAGGGTAGGCAATGGTTGCAAAGGTTGCAATGGTTGGGTCGGTAGTCGGTAGAGTACCCTCGTCCCATTGCCCGCTCAGCTTCCAGCCAGCCTGCGCCTGCGCAGGACTTCCCTGGCGCTTCCGAGGACGCGCCTGCGCACCTCGGACTAAGATGGCGGCGGCGGCGGCGGCGGCCTGGCGGGGCTGTGGAGCGGCTGCTGCTGCCGCAGGGCTTCGCAGGCGGTAGGTGACGGGCTTGGAGCTCCCGATAGGGGTGCCGCTGGGTTTAGCCAGCGGAGCGGTCGCCGCCTCGCAGACTCTCTCTCAAGGGGGGAGGTAATGAATCTGATGGAGCCGTTGGGTCTGCCCCCGTCACCGCAGTTGAGGGTGTAGCTGTCGGGAGACTGGCTCGCAGAATCCGGCTGTAGAGACAGATAGGAGGAGCTGGATTTGAATCGTGTGGTTTCCGCCCCCACTCCCAGCCTTTCGAACACGTGCATTCCCTCCTCTTTTAAACACAAAATCAGAATATCACAAAGAAAGGAAGAAAATACCTTATTACCTCATTTTCCCAGAGCGGCCCAGAAAGGGGACGTGGTATGTCCAAGGTCCCACAGCTTCTAAGTGTTGGAACTCCTAGGACAATCTGGTCCCTAGGTTTCCTCCCCATCTTCAACACCACCACTTAAGCCCACACCGTTCCCTTGCTTTTCCCGTTTCCCTGAGCCCGCCTTTGAATTTTGCCTTTCAAAGACATGTGTCAGCTTTGGCAGAGGACTTCTGTAGGTTTCATACCCTGATTTTACTTGTGGAGAAAAAGGCCTACAAAAAGTTTGACCTCTTGAGTATTAGAAGTTTTAGGGTTAATGGTACTGTTTAAGTTTAAACGCATTTCCTAAAAATATTAAGCTTGCAGAAGGATTTTTTTGTTAGTTATGTCCTGTCTCCCCCTCATATATTTGAGTAGATGTTTTCCTTGGTGGTGCCTGCCTGTAGTCTCAGCTACTGGGAGGCCTGAGGCAGGAGGATGGATTGCCCCAGGAGTTTGAGGTTGGAGTCAGTGAACTATGATGACACCACTGCATTGTAGCCAGGGGACAGAGCCAGACTCTGTCTCAAAAAAAAAAACAATGTTCTATGAAAAATGCAGGTAGCCCAACTTGCAGTTCAAACAATTGTGCAAATGCTGTCAGTACTTTGATATCCAGCAGAAGTGCTTTATTTGAGTACTATTAACAGAGTATACTTAAGGGGCACATTTTAATAAAAATAATTATTAGTCCATCATGGACATTCTTTTTTTTTTGAGATGGAGTCTCACTCTCTTGCCTGGGCTAGAGTGCCATGGTGTCAGCCTAGCTCACAGCAACCTCAAACTCCTGGGCTCAAGCAATCCTCCTGCCTCAGTCTCCCAGGTAGCTGGGACCACAGGCATGCGCCACCATGCCCGGCTAATTTTTTCTATTTTTAGTTGTTTGGCTAATTTTTTTGTATTTTTAGTAGAGACGGGATCTCACTCTTGCTCAGGCTGGTCTTGAACTCCTAAGCTCAAGCAATCCTCCCGCCTCGGCCTCCCAGAGTGCTAGGCATCATGGACATTCTTATGTGAAGCTGGCCTTTTTGTTGAACTGCAAGTATGTGGGGCTAAAGAATATGACTTCTGGTGCAGTTTGGTGCTACTTAGTTGATTTGGGTTAAGACCTCAGAGGTTTCACCAAACACTGTTGCTTTCATGTCAGTGCAAGTGTCTATAATGTGAATACTATAAAAAACTCTTAGTAGTATTATGAAAATGGTGTTGACCTCGTGGACCGCCCCCCTTCCCCCGAAGACCCCAGGAGCCCAGGGATCATAATTTGAGAGCCACTGGTCTATATGACCATGGGCACCAAGAGCATATGGCCACCAACGCCTCACATTGGGAGGCCAAGGCAGGAGGATCAGCTGAGGCCAGAAGTTTGAGACCAGCCTAAGCAACATAGCGAAACCCTGTCTCCTCAAAAATGTAGAAAAATTATCAGGGCATGGTGGTGCACACCTGTAGTCCCAGATATTTGAGAGCTGAGGCAGGAGGATCACTTGAACCCAGGAGTGTGAGGTTGCTGTGAGCTATGATCATGCCACTGCATTCTAGCCCAGGCAACAGAGCAAGACCCTATCCCCTCCTCCACTAAACAAAAAGAGTGAAATAAAGTTACAACACTAAGTTAATATATTTCCAGTCAGAAAGCATGTAAAGACTGTTGGCTGCTTTAGCAGATCGGGGGACGGCAGTACACTATTAGATTTTTTGAAGTATTGAAATACTTTTTTTTTGTGCCCATCCCCACCATGAAATACTTTTCAAAACAGGTGATATAGTTTGTATCTACAGAAGGAAACATAGTGACGGGGTACAGAAAAGGAGGGAGACTTTTCACCATTACACACTTATTTCCTTATCAGTTTTGAACCATGTGACTCTATTATCTGGATTTAAATTTTTTTTCAGACAGAGTCTCGCTCTGTTGCTGGGGCTAGAGTGCTGTGGTGTCAGCCTAGCTCACAGCAACCTCAAACTCCTGGGCTCAAGTGATTCTTCTGCCTCAGCCTCCCAAGTAGCTGGGACTACAGGCATGTGCCACCATGCCCGGCTAATTTTTTCTATATATATTTAGTTGTCCAGCCAATTTCTTTCTATTTTTAGTAGAGACAGGGTCTTGCTCTTGCTCAGGCTGGTCTCGAACTCCTGAGCTCAAATGATCTGCCTGCCTTGGCCTCCCAGAGTGCTAAGATTACAGGTGTGAGCCAGCGCGCCTGGCCTAAATTTTTTTCTAAAGAAGAAATAAAAGCCTATAGTTCTTTGTCTCCTTCATGTATAGCTAAGAGTCTGGGACTCCAGGTTATAAATCACTAATGTAAATGCAATTTTGTTTCTTGTACCTGGATGTTACAGTATCTTGTGTACATCCAATTATCAAGGCTATGAATTTCCATTTGAGCTTTACCTGTTGAATTGTTTGCAGATATTGCTTGTCTAAGAAGGGGAAATAATGTTGTAGATGGAAAATGAAAAATCAGCTCTGTAATTATTTTTTATTGCTGGTTATGTTTGAGTTTTACATATGTCTTTATACATGAGAAATAGAAACTTGTTTTAAAAGATTAGATTTTTTAAAATGTCATTTATTATTTGTTTTAAACTGTAGATTCTGTCTTGTGATGAAGAATCCATACACCATTAAGAAATATCCTCTGCATCAATTTGTACAGAAACCACTTTTCCTGCTACCTGCAGCCCCATGTAACACAGGTAAAATTTTACCTCTTTTAGAGCAAATGGTGTTCGGAAACTCATGGAACTGTGCTAGGATTTTGTGGATCATAAAAGATGAGAATTTTCTACTTAGAACCCTATAAAAAGAATATAGAGAGTTTTTTTCTATTGTAATACCACACTTTAGTTATTTGCAAGGACATTGTCTATTAGATCTATGAAATCTCAGTATTTTATATAATATAACAATCGTCTGGAACACAAGAGTTGCTCAATAAATTATTTCAGAAATGAAAATCGTGTAAAAAGAAGTTATAAATGGGTTTGTGTTTCAAAGAATCATATGTATTTTAAGTTATTGCTTTTCTTATTTTGGTAAGAATACCCCTAAAATTAGTATATCTCTGGCTTTCATCCAGACCTTAAAACATAGGATTTTGAATATAGTTTTTCTTTTTTTGTCAAAATTAATTACTGTGGTTTTGTTAACAATCTTGTTGATATTATATACTTTGAGTTCCTTTAATGTTGGAAATAGTTATGAAGATGGGATTTGAAAATAATTTGAACTGTGCTGAGCTTAGGGGCATATGCCAGTAGTCCCAGCTACTCTGGAGGCTGAGGTGGGAGGATCACTTGAGCCCAGGAGTCGGGCTACTGTGAGCTATGATGCTGCTGTTCCACCCCAGCCTGGGCAACAAAGCAAGACCCTGTCTCAAAAAAAAAAAAAAAGGTGTGGAAATGTGACCATTGTAATGTGGTTATAGAAGCTTAGGTGTGTGTGTGTATGTACATGTATGTATGTGTATAAATGCATACCTATATGTGGTTATGGAGCTGTAAGTGTACGGATTCAGCCTATCCCCCTTTCCATCACCACCTTGAACACCTTCCTATGGCCATACTCTGGAAGGTGGCTGACTCTGGCTAAAGACATAAGGGTAGAGACTTTATGCCTTCTGTAAACTTGGGCAAGAAGAGGAGTGATTTCCTGCCCATCTCCTTGAATCACAGAATAGTTTAGACATAAATAAGTAAATATTGAATAACTCAACAGATCAGACCACTTTAATTAAACTTTTAAATTTTGTAGAACTGAATTATGTTGTCATCTAGGCTCTTCAAATTGGAAACCCACTGATTTTGTCATTGATACTGACTTTAAGCAGCACTAATCTATATTTTGGAGGATCTTATGCCTACCTATTTTGGTACCTATTAGTACCAAGCATAATAGGAAAAAATATTTTATGTCAGTCTCTCTATCCTTTTATAACTCTCATGACACTTTGAAATACCTAATTAAACCCAATTTAGCTTGTAAGTGGAATGATCTTGTTAAATATTTACCTATTCAAATATGTCTTTTGAAATAGCTTTGTTTATTGTCAAAAGAGAAACATTGTATGGTAGTGATGTCATATATTTTCATCATTTCTATGATCAGACAGTATGTATAGATTATATGCTTTTAAGTGATTTTTTTAAAAACATTTATAGGTTTTACCTTTAAATAGTTCTAAAATGTTTTTTTTCTGCAGGTCTAGATTTACTTAAGTGAATTGAGTAAAATAAAGCCAAATTTAATTCTTCAAATATTGGTAGAATGTTTAATGTGTATGCAGAGATACTGGTTACTAATAAATTATTAAGAAATGCTGGGCCAGGCACTGTGGCTCACACCTGTAATCCTAGCACTCTGGGAGGCCAAGGTGGGAGGATCGCTTGAGGTCAAGAGTTTGAGACCAGCCTGAGCAAGAGTGAGACCCCATCTCTACAAAAAAATGGAAAAATTAGCTGGGTGTGCTGATGCACACTTGTAGTCCTAGCTACTTGGGAGGCTGAGGCAGGAGAATCACTTGAGCCTAGGAGTTTGAGGTTGCAGTGAGCTATGATGACACCACTGTGCTCCAGCCTGGGTGACAGAGTGGGACCCTGTC